CCTTGACGTAAGTAAGGTTCTTGTCGTTCAATGATACCGTAGATTGTACACATTATAAAAAGCGGCTAACCGATGATCACGAATTTAAATATTGTCCGTTGTGTTGATCGCCACTGATATTCACGCAAGGTCGTGCACGCGCGTTTGAACTATGGCTTGTAACGGGACGCGGTTCAACGATTAATTCGACACTTTTGTAAAAGCGGCGTCCACTCCCGTATAATACCGGAAATATCCGGCTCGAAGGACCAGAATGTCTACGTGATTATGCACGGGAAGGATCGCGGATAAAGGTCGATAGAAAAAAAACCACGTGTTAACACAGTCAAAGTTCACACAATATTTTTTATTACAAAACAGTTAACTAGGACGATCAACACACGAAAATTGTTAATAAATGTACAAATACGCCGACGATTGTATAACAGATAAACGCAACGATTAAACGCATGTAACAGTGTACTGATTTTACGAGTTCTTTATTTTAATGATATACGCCTTATCGCAATTATCGAATACCGCTGTCTCCTGCACACCTCTATATATAGGTGTCGTGAGCTCGCCGACGTCATCAAACGCCGACAAGGAAGGGGGAAACCAGCTGTTAGACTCCAAAGGCGCGGTGATTTGCCGCAACACGTCGTGTTTCGGAAATGTAATAAGATCGACTTACCGATGCGCTGTTTTATACAATACAAGCTAATATATTCGCTTGCTAATTTCGCTGTGTGTTCACTCGATGATCTGGAACACCAAAGAACAATAAGATTTCCGATCACGCAGTTGTCGCGGCGAAAACGAACTATCGGACAAGAACGTCGACGAGAGACACACTAACGCAGCATTTCTATTTGAATTCATAATTGTTGTATTGCGGTAAAATTGCAACTATTAATCAGGTTGGAACTTGTAACATGAAATATAGGATGAAACATATAGTCTTTCAAGAATGAGGCCGTTATCCGTATAATTTTACCTTAACAAAGATCAAAATTATTCGTTTTTCCGATTTGCAACGAAGATTATTAATTATAATAGTTTAACAGCGGACGATGCGCTTGCGGTAATTACAATGCCGTGGCAACCTATACATTTGTTGAATCTATATGCATATTTGTTCGGATGGATTCAGCATTCGCTTTCTAATGAATTTAAACAATTACAATCTAACGAACATTCCTTCGAGAACGTTCCTTTGTTCAGATTTGCCGTTAGATCTTGTTGCCAGGCAGTTTCTTGGAAATTTCGATACAATGGTGTTTATTGCTTTGAACGACCCTTGATTTCGAACGTTCGCGGCGTTCGCTTTCATAAGGGTTCTCATTCCTTATTCTCGTTGTGTAAATACATTTTCATTCGTCCACTTTTTCATATCATCATTTCGTGCATACAATAATGATCCTTGTTGGACCGGCTGACGCTTTGTGCAAAAGAGAGAGAAAGAGCGCTCCACAAGAGAAGTTATTGAAGACTATAAGAAATGCGAAGCACTGGCTAACTGCGTAGCGCTGGTGTTATGCTAACGGCTCTCTCTCTCTCGAGCTAGATTCGAGTTTTTGTGCGGTGTCATATACTGTATTTCTATTACTATGGTTGAGCGACGATAGTTTCACGGAGAGTCACGTAAACTATTGTAAAGAAGGAAATAGAAACTTTTCCTCGTGTACCTCGCATGAAAAATCCTCGCAACCCCGAAAGGCTTGACAAGATACACAAGGTCGAGGAGGAATGGAAAAGATTGGCGGAAAAGTGAAACACCCACGTCACGCCCCTTACATGAGAAATCCTCGTAACCCAAAAGGCCTTGATAAGGGACGCAAGGCGGATAAATTTCAAATTTCCGCCGGGACGTAACAGGGTGAAGGTTGGAAGGACGTTACGGTGACTGTGGTGGTCGTTAGGGTAGCGGTACAGGTCATTGTAACAGGATCGGGGACGTAGGACGTATGCGGTAGTTCCGGGAAGGATTCGTGGGAAGTTTCAAGTTCTGGAGGATCAAGTTTATCTTCGGGTTCACCGGATCGACGGGGAGGAAGATTTGCGGGTTGTTCAGGAGGGGAATCGTTCGCGGAGGGTGTTACCCACGCCGAGAAAAGGGTGAATGGGAGTCGATCACCAGCGGTATCATTTGTCATATCCCATGGCGCGGCATCCGCGCCGAGAACGCGACGTACTTCTGCACGAAGGTAACGGTCGCGAAGGTCGTCAACCGTACCACGGATATTCAAGCGCGCGTGGTCCATTAATTGAATGAGCACGATAACCTCGAGTTCGCCGCGGTGCGCTCGCATCTGGCGGGCCGCGGCGAAATCCATTTTCACGAAATACGAAAAAACGGGGTCTTTCACGGAAGCCAAAAAAAAGTGGGGAAGGGGGAGTAAGAAGGGGCGAAAAAAGGTTTTGGGGGGTCCTGAAAGAAAAAAACACAACGGGAGAGAGGAACAACTCGAATCCGGGCACAAGAACTTCAAAATCAAATGCAACAACGACAAAATCAAAACGCGGTATTCTGCAATCAAGAACTGGAAAAAAAGAAAGGGGAACAAAAAATTTTGAATCGAAAAAGGCTTGATAGAGTGCCCACGACCGGCAAAAGGCACGGCCAGGGCCCACAATATCGGCAAAACGCGAGCAACGTTTAAATCAGAGGCGCACGGAATAAAAAATGTATATTCGACACAGATAATAATTCGATTTTACAAATATCAATAACAGCGGTTCGGTCGAAAACGGCGGACGTGTCGGTTTAGAAAGATGTTTCGTCCTCTGCGACGTTCGGGTATCAAATTTCCAAACACTACGCCGCATTCGACCGGCGGCAGTTAGAAAAAAAACGATATCAAGAAGCTCAACGATAACGGGCGCCTTCTGCGTCGTAGTTTCAAAATTCTAACGGCGGAATGGAAAATAGACATTCCTCGAACGCGAGAGTTCTAGAACTTTATTAATTTCCAGGTCCCACGTTGGGCGCCAAATTTGTGAACCAATTTACGTGGGTGCACTCTATATTTTCTGTAAATGATAAAATCTAATCACGATTACAAACTCGTTGGGCGCCAGCCACTCGCTATGGCAAGTAAAGGATGGGAAAGAAATCAAGGGTTTTACACACATTCTCGCACAATCGCCCTTTACTCTACAAAAAGCGCTCTGTACCAAAAATAATTATTCTGAAACACTTTATGCACTCTCTATCGTAGCCTCAGGCTCATTACCGGTTCGTCGTCGCAGCAGCGGCAACGAGCCCGTCGTAGGGAATTTTTGGGGAGGGGATGGCGTTGGATTGGGACCTCTTCCGGGACTAGGAATGATCTACTATCGATCTGTCGGTAATCGGGATCGATGGAGCGGACGGAAATTCGGTGATGACGGCTGAGGGCTATGTTCTTCGGGCTCGGCGACAGATGGCTTCATGGGTTGCTTTTGCTGCTTTTATCGGGCTGGTGGACCTCAGCTATTTGTTCCGGGTTGCTCACTTTCTAGGGAGGGGTGCTCGTGCTGTCGCCAGCCTCGAAGTTCCGTTGGTAGCTTGATGGGGTCTTCTTTGTCGCCTCCATCGGCCCGTTACCAGGAGGTGGGAAAAGGGGTTAGGTGAGGGAAGGGTTATGGGTGGATTTAATCTCGGAACGGGAAATGACAGAAGCGCAGCGATTGTAACGGGGGGGGGGGGGGCACACATGACACCACGTTACAGTAAATATAGTAATAATGATATTGTTATTGAATGTACGTTTGTCTGTGGGAAGGAACCGGGATATTACATTATATCCAATGAAGATAAAGTAATAATGATATAGTTATTATATGTACACTGATCTGTGGGAAGGGATCAGTACATCACATTATATCAAATTTAGAAATAGTAAGAATGATATTCTTATTGAATGTATATTACTTATCTAATGTAGGTATAGTAATAGTGATATCGTTATTAAATGTACATTAATCTGTGGTAATGGATCAGGATATTACATTATATCCAATGAATATATAGTAACAATGATATTGTTGTTAAATGTATATTCGATAAGTAATGTAGATACAGTAATAATGATATTCTTATTAAATGTATACTACATACCTAATGTAGATATAATAATACTGATATTGTTGTGTTCGAGCGAACGGTCGTGACAACCGAACTATTTCAAGAATACCTCTCGTGACTAACTTCTATTATATTGCTATTCCTCTCTCCTCGGCGTCCGTCTCTCTTACTCCGTTGGCCAGCGGTGTGGGGCGTGGACGCCGGGGGCGAGAGGGAGAGGTACGAACCTTTTGTCGCGCTACGACGATACTCACTCGTTTCAAGGAAATTCTCGCGAGCAGTTTTCGGAGAATTCAAATCAGCAAATCCTTTTTTTTGGCGCTTCGCACGAACCGGGTGCTTCGGCGAACCGCAATAACGCGGATTAGTTTAAGTGAATCGAGGATTAAGATATAAACTTTTCGTTTATTTTACTTCTAAGACTACGTGTTCATTTATTAAATACAACGAGTTTTCACTAAGATTACGCAACACGTTGTTGTGGAGTTCATTGCCTCCGCCTTTTCAATAATCCCGCGCTTCGGTAAACGCGATCCGGCACCTCGCTCATTTTCTAAAGATTTCCAACCGTCGAAAATACGCGGCGACGAAATTTGACGGAACACTCTGGTCCTTCGAGCCGGATCTCGTTAAACGAACAACGGTGCTTCGTGAAAAACGCGCAAGTGAACTCCGTGCTTCAAGTACATCTGGTTTTTCTTCTTCACCTGTGGAGAACTTCTTCGGCGATCCAGATCAGTGAAAATCTCCAACCAGGAATCTGGAAAGAAGAGCCGATTGAAAGCCGGTTACGTAACCATCCTTTGCTTCAACGGCAACGACCACGCTTTGTGACGTCACGCCGCGAGCCTAACATTTACCAACATCACGGTACGCGTTGAAAGGCTTAGAAGTACGGTCTCAGTGGTTCTCTATCGAAATATTAAATTAAATTTCGCCTTGATTTGCAATCATGTCTACATCCTTTACGGATCTTCTGCGTGAACAAGAGGAAGTAGCGGGGTGGATTCTAAGATTCTGGGCTAACGTATGCAAGTTAGGAAAGGACAAGCTGACGGGAGCGGTTTTAGAGCAGACACAGGGTTTGCTCAACCGGTACTGGGACACGTTCCTTAGAGGTCACCGTAAATTGATGCGATGCAAGGAGGTGAGTTCTAGTCCATACGTCAAAGAGGACGCCTTTTCGGTCACAGAAGAAGCTTACCTTGACGCAGCCTCCATGATTTCCCATCACCTGAAGGAGCTGCCGTCCCCTGGCTCCTCGCAAAGCCAACCGTCCAATCTTGCGCCTCCGCCCCACCCGCAACTGCCTAAAATCGAATTGCCGAAATTTTCGGGTGATCCGTTACAACGGGAGAGCTTTCGTAACCTTTTTAAAATTCTTGTCCATGACGTCAGCCATTTACCTGATGTGCAAAAGCTACTCTATTTGAAGTCTAGTTTGACAGGTGAGGCCGCCGAGGTCATTCGGAATATGCCGACAACAGACTCCGGCTTCAGGGGAGCATGGGAGGATCTGGAAGCCCGGTACGGTAACATTCGTCTGTTATCGTTTTCACATAATCGTGCGCTCCTCTCGTGCCCATCAGCCCTGCAGCAGTCAGCTAGCGAATTGAAGCGGCTATTGGACACTTTCCGCCAGGCGATCAGGCCGTACGTTACACTAAGGAAACCCGTTACTTCATGGGATGAGTGATTTGTATACTTACTAAGCCAAAAGCTTGATAAAACTACTCACCTTGCTTGGGAGACCTCTTTGGCGGATAGCAGGGAAATCCCGCGGTTTCAGCAATTATCGCAGTTCTTGGAGAACCGGATCCAAGCTCTAGGCGCTGCCGGTATGACTGACTCATCGCTCCATGCTGCGTCGCCGGCAAGCTCTAAGGAAGTCAAACCTAAAACAAAGGGAGGAGGATCAGCAAAAGGCGTTAACTCTACCGTCTTAGCCGCAGCGTCAAAGTCGCCCCCAGCCCGGAAATGTCCGGGGTGTTCGGGCACCCACGGTCTAGGATTTTGCTATAAATTCAAGGCTCTGTCGCCAGCAAAACGCAAGGAGCGCGTGCAACAGCTGAAGGCCTGCTTGAGCTGTTTGAATGTAGGACACGAAGTGGGTAGGTGCCCGTCTAAACAAGTCTGTTTAGCTTGTAGCAAGCGACATCATACGCTACTTCACGAGGCGCTGACGGCTCCACCGACAAGCGCACCAGGCCGTGAAGGCGGACAGCCAGCATGAGAAGACGCTGCCTCGACGTCTGACGAAGCAACTCAGCAGGTGACCACCCTCTCTCCATCGGTCGGTTCAAAAGCCGTGGCCCAACTCGCAACCGCCAAGGTGAGATTGGAGGCGCCATCAGGAGAAACCGTAGAGGTCCGAGCCCTTCTGGACACCGGCTCCGATACCTCCCTCGTCTCATCGTGGGTCGCTCAGGCGCTACGTCTTCCACGGCGGGCGGTGCGAGTGGCCATCTCAGGCGTCAAGGACAATGAGGTTGGATTCGCAACCAGAGAGGTATCCCTTGTGGTTCGACCCCGACACACTTCGGACTTCCGATTACCTGTTCGTGCGTTAGTACTCCGCAAACTAACGTCGCTGCTCCCGAGTAAACGCATCGTGGCAAAGTCTTGGCCGCATATTACCGGTCTCACGCTTGCTGACCCCGAGTACGGAGTTCCGGCTCGGGTAGGTTTACTTTTAGCTGTGGATGTTTGCGGAACGCTCTTTGGTGACGACTAGCGCAGAGGGCCAGAGGGTACTCCAACGGCGAAACTCACCCCCTTTGGCTGGATGCTCATGGGACCAGCCTCCTACGACAAACCCAAGGCGGAGACGGCCGCTCGGGTTCTTCACTGCCACAGCGAGGACTCCACAAGCCAACTCCTCCAGTGGTTTTGGGAGCTGGACGAAATTCGAGAACGGGTTCCGATGTCAGAAGAAGAGGAAAAGTGTGAGCGTCACTTCCTCGACACTCATGCTCGAGACCCATCGGGACGCTACGTGGTGCGCCTTCCCTTCGTCAAGGACCGCTGACTGCGCAGAAGTTCAACAGGACGACGGCGTGAAACTCCTCTTCAATTGTGAACGACGCCTATCCTCGGATGCCACGCTGAAAGAGCAGTACCGAAATTTTATAATGGAGTACCTGACTTTGCAGCACATGCAGGATGCATCCGAAGGAGCAGATAAGGGGCCTGCGTATTACCTGCCGCACCGCGCCGTATGCAAGCGCCACGATCCTTCTGCCAAGCTACGGGTCGTTTTTAATGCCTCTTTTTCCACGCTGACCTGTGGATGGTATTGACCCGCTGGCGACTTTTTCGGATCGTATTCACCACGGACATTGTCAAGATGTTCAGACAGATCCGAGTCCATCCTGAGGATACTAGGTGGCAAAGCATACTCTGGCGCGCCACTCCCGACGATCGAGTGCAGGATTTCCGGCTTACGACGGTGACGTATGGCACGGCGTGCGCGCCTTTCCTAGCTTTACGGGTACTTGCTCAGCTGGCGAACGACGAGCACAGCCGGTTTCCCCGAGGAGCATCGGTGGTCCGTCGACAAACGTATGTCGACGATATTCTCACCGGGGCGGATGATGTCGACGAGACCCTGGCTTTGAAAAAAGAAGTGGTGGCAATTTTCAAAGTTGGCGGTTTTGAATTAAGCAAATGGGCATCTAACATACCGGAGATTCAAGAAACCGACTCTTCTGATACGCGCCTGTTTCAGGAATGGTCCGGCATCAGTACACTAGGCGTGAACTGGAATCCTAGGGATGATGCCTTTTCCCTTCGAGTCGCAGCTGCTGAGGTGGTGAGAGAACGTACCAGCAAGAGGTCCATCCTCTCTGAAATCGCAGGCCTCTTCGACCCGCTGGGCTGGGCGGCGCCGATCCTAGTGGTGGCCAAAGTTCTAATGCAGGACCTCTGGATCCTTGGAGCAGATTGGGACCAGCAATTGCCAGAGAACGTCTGCACTACGCGGCAGCGCTTTCAGAGGCTCCTTGCCGCAACTGGATACCCTGAAGATCCCACGCTGGACGTTTGCTTCATCAGAGCCGTCCACCCAAACGGTTTTTGTGACGCCTCGCAGCGAGCTTATGCGGTAAACGTGATCCGGCAACTCGCTCATTTCCTACAGATTTCCAACCGTGGAAAATACGCCGCGACGAAATTTGACGGAACATGTTGTTAAATGTACAATGATCTGTGGGGAAGGATCAATGTATTACATTACATCCAACGTAGATATAGTAGTAATACAGATCAATGTACATTTAATATCAATATCATTATTACTATACCTCCATTAGCTGTGAAATATATATTTAATAACAATATCATTATTACTATATCTACATTGGTTATAATGTAATATACTGTTCCGTTCCCACAGATCGTTGTATATTTAATAACAGTACCATTATTACTATTTCTACGTTGGATGTAATGTAATATACTGATCCATTCCCACAGATCAATTTATATTTAATAACAATATCATTATTACCATATCCACATTATATATAATGTCATATATTGATTGCTTCCTACAGATCAATGTACATTCAATAACAATATCATTATTACTATATTTACTGTAACGTGGTGTCATGTGTGCCCCCCCCGTTACAATCGCTGCGCTTCTGTCATTTCCCGTTCCGAGATTAAATCCACCCATAACCCTTCCCTCACCTAACCCCTTTTCCCACCCCCTGGTAACGGGCCGATGGAGGCGACAAAGAAGACCCCATCAAGCTACCAACGGAACTTCGAGGCTGGCGACAGCACGAGCACCCCTCCCTAGAAAGTGAGCAACCCGGAACAAATAGCTGAGGTCCACCAGCCCGATAAAAGCAGCAAAAGCAACCCATGAAGCCATCTGTCGCCGAGCCCGAAGAACATAGCCCTCAGCCGTCATCACCGAATTTCCGTCCGCTCCATCGATCCCGATTACCGACAGATCGATAGTAGATCATTCCTAGTCCCGGAAGAGGTCCCAATCCAACGCCATCCCCTCCCCAAAAATTCCCTACGACGGGCTCGTTGCCGCTGCTGCGACGACGAACCGGTAATGAGCCTGAGGCTACGATAGAGAGTGCATAAAGTGTTTCAGAATAATTATTTTTGGTACAGAGCGCTTTTTGTAGAGTAAAGGGCGATTGTGCGAGAATGTGTGTAAAACCCTTGATTTCTTTCCCATCCTTTACTTGCCATAGCGAGTGGCTGGCGCCCAACGAGTTTGTAATCGTGATTAGATTTTATCATTTACAGAAAATATAGAGTGCACCCACGTAAATTGGTTCACAAATTTGGCGCCCAACGTGGGACCTGGAAATTAATAAAGTTCTAGAACTCTCGCGTTCGAGGAATGTCTATTTTCCATTCCGCCGTTAGAATTTTGAAACTACGACGCAGAAGGCGCCCGTTATCGTTGAGCTTCTTGATATCGTTTTTTTTCTAACTGCCGCCGGTCGAATGCGGCGTAGTGTTTGGAAATTTGATACCCGAACGTCGCAGAGGACGAAACATCTTTCTAAACCGACACGTCCGCCGTTTTCGACCGAACCGCTGTTATTGATATTTGTAAAATCGAATTATTATCTGTGTCGAATATACATTTTTTATTCCGTGCGCCTCTGATTTAAACGTTGCTCGCGTTTTGCCGATATTGTGGGCCCTGGCCGTGCCTTTTGCCGGTCGTGGGCACTCTATCGAGCCTTTTTCGATTCAAAATTTTTTGTTCCCCTTTCTTTTTTTTCAGTTCTTGATTGCAGAATACCGCGTTTTGATTTTGTCGTTGTTGCATTTGATTTTGAAGTTCTTGTGCCCGGATTCGAGTTGTTCCTCTCTCCCGTTGTGTTTTTTTCTTTCAGGACCCCCCAAAACCTTTTTTCGCCCCTTCTTACTTCCCTTTCCCCACTTTTTTTTGGCTTCCGTGAAAGACCCCGTTTTTTCGTATTTCGTGAAAATGGATTTCGCCGCGGCCCGCCAGATGCGAGCGCACCGCGGCGAACTCGAGGTTATCGTGCTCATTCAATTAATGGACCACGCGCGCTTGAATATCCGTGGTACGGTTGACGACCTTCGCGACCGTTACCTTCGTGCAGAAGTACGTCGCGTTCTTGGCGCGGATGCCGCGCCATGGGATATGACAAATGATACCGCTGGTGATCGACTCCCATTCACCCTTTTCTCGGCGTGGGTAACACCCTCCGCGGACGATTCCCCTCCTGAACAACCCGCAAATCTTCCTCTCCGTCCACCCGGTGAACCCTAGCATGAACTTGATCCTCCAGAACTTGAAACTTCCCACGAATCGTTCCCAGAACTACCGCATTCGTCCTACGTCCCCGATCCTGTTGCAATAACCTCTACCGCTACCCTAACCACCACCACAGTCACCGTAACCTCCCCTTAACCTTCCCCCCAACTTCCGCCCCAGGATCCTCTCCCCCATTTTTCAGACACTTACAATCCGTATTGCGATAGTCAAGGAGTAGTTCCGCCCCCTTTTAGCAGTACCCACGTTCCTTTCTGCGCCCCTGAACCTCAATATCCTCTCCTCCCACAATGGCCGGTTCCCGCTTCGGCACGAATCCCGAACCGGCTAGATTACACGTACCCTCTTCCAAACCTACCCCAACGTCCCTATGGTCCCACTGCTTTCCCCCAGTCGTCCCCACTGTCACCGCAATTTGCCGAAGCCTCCCTTTCCCGAACCAACCCTTACTATCCCTTAGTCAACATGTCCCAATTTTCCCATCTTCCCGCCTCTGGCGAGGGTCGCGCTGCGGAACTCTTCCGAAAGTGGCGGATTTCCTTTTCGGGAGCCCCCGAGGAGGACGGGTAAGAGTTCCTTGAGACTTAGTCCGATTTCGTCGTGACCCAAAACCTCCCCGAATCGGAGATGCTCCGAGCCCTTCCCTTTATCCTCACCGGTTTGGCGCGAGCGTGGGTGCTGGGACAAGCCCGAACCTGGTCAAATTACGGAGAATTTTTACGCGCTTATCGCCTCCATTATGCCCCCAGTAATTATCAAAACCGACTAAAACGAGATTTGATTACACGTATAGAAAGGCATTTTTCAGCTGAATTCTACACTATTCTGGGCAGTTTTGCGCTGTTCTGAGATAGAAATGCACCTATTAGCCCAGTTCTGCGCGATTCTGAGCTGTTTTGCGCTATAAGTAGATAGAAATGCACTTTTCAGCCCAGTTCTCCACGATTCTGGGC